CGAGGTCAATAGTAACTGAATATCCTTTTTCAATCTCCTACATTTAAGTAGCATCCAAACCTAATTTTGGAAAAGAAAATATTCAATGTTACATTAGCTTCGGATACATAAGTAAAGATAGTAATGTTCTTTAGTTTTGGATTGAACTAAATGTTCGTAATGAAGAATAAATTGTCTACCTATTACTTAATATTTCTACAAAACAGAAGGATTGTAACAAATGTGTAAGTTAAAGGTGGGATTATTAAGTATTTACGTGTTGCATTATTAGGACCTACTCAAAGTCGACTAATATTAAGTTGGATTAAATTGTATGAAAGGGAAACTACTATAACTGAATTTAAATAATAAAACAAATGTAATCTATCAGTAATAGAACAAAACAATTATAAGTTAATAGAAAAACTGTAAGCGAAAAAGATGACATACTGACCCTGCTTCTCTGAAAGAAGGCTTGACCACCCCCATCCATCTGATTAAAATTGTCAAATTCGATCTCATCTACAGTTGCTTCCCTGCGTTTTCTTTTCCTTTTTATTTTTATTTTTATTTTTATTTTTATTTTTTTGGGGCTTCAGAAATTTTTTTAAGGCCATCTATATCTGAAACGTGAGAATTGCACTCTTGTTGCATCACAAAACTTTGTTCGGCAAATGTAAGGCTTTCAGGTAACATATGCTCATCATCAGTATGACAAACATTTTCAGTAAACATTTCAATTCCAATTGGAGTGCCAAAATTACTATCATTTTGTGGCATCTGATTCCGTTTGTTATTCCTAGTTCTTTTTTTGCATCATGTGTAGGAATTGTAAAATCCAAAGAACAAATCGATAGCTACACCAGCCGAAAACCGAAAGATTGATATTTGAGAAGAAAAAAAATGAAACACACATAAATCAAATTTAAAATTTTCCATCAAACCTAAATTATAATTAAATAAAGCGAATACCCAGTATCATATCAGAGTCACGGAAGCAAGGACTTTAAAATGCCACAATATTTAACAAATACTATGCATAGTTTATAAAAAATGAGTATACGGTTAACCTGTACAACGCATCTATGAGTTGCTTCTAAAAAGAGATGCACAAAATTTGACAAAAGCACCTATCCAAATAAAACAAAAAAAAACAAAAAAAAAACAAATTAAATAACAATTAGGCAAGAACCACAAAATGCAACCCAAAAAAAATTGAACCAAATCCACAATCCAAAAGCAAATAAATCACAAAAACACTAACTAATTTATGCTAGTTATTGATTTGACATACTAATCTGTGGTCATAATTCTATCACTCAGAATGGTGAAGTCAGTCGCCTATCATAAAGGTCTGGGAAATATAAAGATTTTTGCTCTCATTTTTTTTGGGTGTTATACCTGCTCTGCATACAAAAGTTAGTTCTGATATAGTTGTTATCATCTCTTCTATTTCTTTAGGATAAAAAGGTTATGTCATTCCAAAACCTTGAAAAACAACCTAAAAGCATCGGTATGACCTCCAGTGGAACTGATACCCTTTGTGATTATGTAGTTGGTATATGATTTATCACCTCAGATTTTGTATGTTGACATTATGTTCACTTAAGCTCCGAAGACATCCATCAGTCCCAAACCACATATTTCTAGGTACTTAAGGTTTTTAAACCCTGCAAATTGAAAATACAATGGAAAAATAATGAATCTTGGTAAAAACCAAAGTACAAACTGTTTTCGGAACTTAATCCTCAACAATAACGACAACCAGAAAACAAGATCAAGCGAAAGCTGAAGAAGAGCCCATTTTAGTTATTTTATTTTTAACACAATGTTAAAAACCAAACTCCTCACATTCAAATCAACACGAAATACCCCGTAAACTAAACTTCAAAGAAATTACATCACCACAACCAGCACTTCCCATAGGCCTCAAACCCACCGTGAATTTCAAATTGTTGAAAGATGATTGGGGCAAAGATAGAGAGAACGGTTGGGTTGGGGTTTGGTTGGTTAGTTTTTAATTTTTAATTTTATATCAATTGACTTGATTTCCTATAAGTTCTTATAAAATATTTATTTATAATAAAGGGCATTCTAGTAATCATACAAATTTTCATTCCGATTCTAGTGAATTAGTAAACAACTTATATTCAAACATGACCATTTATACTCCGATTCCAGAAAACTATAGTAAACAGCTTTAATCAAAATCTGGATTTCACTTCTCCTCAATTCAATTCCCACTCAATCCAATTCCACCTATTTTTATTACGGATTAGTAAACGAACCCTAAAAATATTCGTAATGAAGAATAAATTGTCTACCTTGTACTTATATTTCTACAAAACAAAAGGATTTTAACAAATATGTAAGTAAAAGGTGGGATTATTAAGTATTTACATGTCGGATTATTTGGACCTACTCAAAGTCGACTAATATTAAGTTGGATTAAATTGTATGAAAGGGAAACTACTATAACTGAATTTAAGTAATATAATAAAACAAATGTAACTTATCAGTAATAGAACAAAACAATTATAAGTTAATAGAAAAACTGTAAGCGAATAAGATGACATACTTAATCTTCTTCTCTGAAAGAAGGCTTGACCACCCCTACCCATCTGATTAAAATTGTCAAATTCGATCTCATCTACAGTTGCTTCAGCTGTATTCATATTGCTTTTTTTTTTCTTTTTTTTTTTTTTTTTGACTTGTTTTGGGCTTCAGAATTTTTTTTAAGGTCATATCTGAAGCGTGAGAATCTCACTCTTGTTGCATCACAAAATTTTGTTCGGCAAATGTAAGGCTTTCAGGTAACATATGCTCATCATTAGTATGACAAACATTTTCAGTAAACATTTCAATACCAATTGGAGTGCCAAAATTACTATCATTTTGTGGCATCTGATTCCTTTTGTTATTCCTAGTTCTTTTTTTGCATCATGTGTAGGAATTGTAAAATCCAAACAACAAATCGACAGCTACACCAGCCGAAAACCGATAGATTGATATTTGAGAAGAAAAAAAATGAAACACACATAAATCAAATTTAAAATTTTCCATCAAACCTAAATTATAATTAAATAAAGCGAATACCCAGTATCATATCAGAGTCACGGAAGCAAGAACTTTAAAATGCCACAGTATTTAACAAATGGTATGCATAGTTTATAAAAAATGAGTATACGGTTAACCTGTACAACGCATCTATGAGTTGCTTCTAAGACATCCATCAGTCCCAAACCACATATTTCTAAGTACTTAAGGTTTTTAAACCCTGCAAATTGAAAATACAATGGAAAAATAATGAATCTTGGTAAAAACCAAACTACAAACTGTTTTCGGAACTTAATCCTCTACACTATGACCAACAGCCTCTAAGATGAAAATTTAGAAGACCAGGCAATATTGTTTCCACGTTCTGTAAATATTATCAGTACAATTTAGCATGTTAGTTATGTACTTTATCTGACATAATAATGCAACTATCATACCCAAGAAACGTAAAAATCCAAGTTACCTCTATAATTACATTCTCCAGCATTTCTCATCTAATTTTCAATCCAAAAAACACATTAAGGTCAGTTACATGACCTTTCAAATTCCACAACTATTTAACAACTACTATGCATAATTCTTGAAAGATGAGTACAAAATTAACCTCTTTTGAAAAAAGAAGGAAGAAAGATGAAAGCTTAAGTCAAGGAATATAACTATGTTGAACTCAATTATATGCCCATTGAGAGGGAAACGCTTCTGCAAGTGAAAAAAACGTATTTATATAAAACAGCCTGTAGCTTTAGCTTAAGGTCGTGCACCATCTAAAAGAGATTCTTGTATCCATTCCAATTATAATCATGTGTACCATATCCCTCTACAATTCCCCACCACCAATCAACCACAACTGGTTTCAAATTATATTTGTGTACCATATCCCTCCACAATCACCCTTGCGCTGAGTAATGATTCACGTACTTCCTCATACTTGTTTATGGGTTCCTATCCAACAAAATTTCGGCTAAGTGCCCAAAAACTGTATTAGCTCACGAACCCAGAGAGGTTTATCAAATTCAAAGCAAAACTCACATATATTCTGAATATTCTAGAGTTAAAGAGAAGCAATGAGGTTCGGTTACGGAACCCAAAACGCCATTTTAATGAGTAAATGAATATCTAAACAGAGGTTAACAATTTTCAGCAATAAAAACCATGGCTTTCGATCAAAGTTGCATAAATTACAGAACATTGGGATAAGGACGAATAAAAAGCCCAAATTCCAATCAAGGAAAATAAAAAAAATTGTATGTAAATTGGGATTGGCAGCAGCTAAAGCATACTGAATCCAACGGGAGCCACGTGAGCTCCAAACAAAGTCACAGGTGAGCAATCACCTGATCGATCATAACACCATTGCAAATATGAAAAACATAAACAATTAAGTCAGCAACATGATATGCCATCCCTTTCATACAAACACAGATTGCAATTCAAATATGTCACATTAATTACAAACAATTACGAATCGAGAAACAATTAAAGCATCATCATGAATCGCAGTGTAACATGAACACACATCAATTAGAAAAGATAGAACTACTTGGCAATAAACATACAGAGAGTAAACATACAGAGAGGAACTGCTTCAGATCCTTCCCAAAAGCAATCTTCCGCATGATAACAAAAGAGCGGTTGATCTCTGATCTAATTGCGGACACAATCTGCAGAACCGACTTCTATGGAATTTGAACTTGTTAAATGTGGAGTGGAGACCTGAATGTAACAAATTGGTGTTAAGTGAATAATTCCAAACATATAAAATTTAGATCATCACACCCGAATGCAAACAGAACAATTAAATAAAGAATTGAAGGCATACACAATCTAATTAGAGAAATAAGTGAACTTTCCCATGCCGAAATCTGAAAGGCCAATAGAAGGCTCTCATTACAGCACAGAAGATGTTGGAACCTAAATCTCAACCCTAGCTCAACCTTAACTATTGCACATAGAAGAGAAGGAAGGAGGAAGATAAGGAGCAGAGCTCCAATATTTTTATATTTATTTCTTTTGTAACATTCTGATCTGTTTACAAACCAAGGAGCTGGTGCTCTTATACACGAAGTGTGACTACTGCCAGCTGACATTTCTAACAAATTCCCCTAATAACAAGTAAAACACTCAATTACACTCTTAATTAGAGCATAAACCTCAATTACAAATTGGGTACATAACAATACTTCCCCCTTGAAAATTAGCCTTGTCCTCAAGGCTTAAAAAAGAAATTGTGGGGACTTGTTTGAACGCAGCAGCACTCTCCTTCAGCTCTAGAAGCACCTCAGTTCCAGAAATGGCCATTACAATCCCGATATCAGCAAGCTTCAAAGTAGATGCACCATTCATTCCATCAACAGTTATAGCAGCAACCTCACCATCCTCTTTAAGCAACCTCACAATGTGCTTTGGTTCGACCCTTGAAAACAGAAGGCCATCACCTTGTCTCAGATGGGCTTTTGGATCACGTATAGTACTCATAAACTCTTTTCCTGTAAGGCTTCTTGAATGTACGTCTCCATCAGTACTAAACACGCCTATTTCACGGCATATTGCTTCCGCAATGTTCTGGTTATCTCCCATGATTACCATAACAAGAATTCCAGCTGCTCAGCAGTCTTCCACTACTTTAAACATCCTTGAAATCTTCTGGTCAGTGATCAGAACTCCAGCATTCTCGAATTCAACATACAATTTCTTCAGGGTTTGTAGCAAATTGAGGGAAGATATATCATTTGTCAATCTCCAATCCTTCCACCCCGACGATAGTCTCAAATGAGAAGGGTGACTCAATGGACAGGACACCAACAGGGACCACGACAAACAGGTACCCAGGAACGTTATTTGTAATTGCTGCAATATGGATTGATTCCAAAACTTTTTCAGCTCTTGAGCCATCAATGCCCTTGTCTCTTAAATTCACCAACACTAAATGGTTCTCTGTTCCAACAGAAACAATATCATAGCCCTTCTTGAACAAGCTCTCTGCAAGTTTTGAGAAATTACTAGGTGACTTGTGGGTTGTGGTTTTAACCATATCTGCATACTCAAAAGGAGAATTGTCCCCTGTATACAGATTCTTGAAGTGGAAACATGCAGCAGAGTCTTCGCCATCACAACGCTTTCCTGAATTGTTGTGATTGTTGACATCCCGAAAAATGACTTCCAAGAAATTAAGGGTCTGTGCGATCAGTGACTTCCTCTGATTAAGTGGCAAGGCATCAGACAAATTCGCATTATCAACATAATATTGTTTCGTCTCTGCCAAACGCACCACCTCCTTGAAAAGCATTCCATGAATTAATAGAAATAAGATTGAAGCAGGTGGTAGTGCTATCCATCTGACCCCTACCTTCTCAATTGCCTTCGCAACATGATAGAACTCCACATTTTGAAAATGGGAAAGCTCATTCCATTTGTATTTAGAATTTGGGGTTGGCTTCTAGGGAATGGCAAAGGCAATTGGTGGTATACTTGTAGCATATTGGTGAAAAGTAATAGACCTTCCTTGTAATTTACTTACAAAAAGCTCAACAAAAAGTGTCCTCCAAATGAATCCCTTCAAAGAATGGTCTAGCCTACTCAGAAATGGACCAAGCGTCGGAGGAAGAATGGTAATTTGAAAGATACTCCCACAAGAATATATATCAGGAAAATGATGGTCAACCCAACTCAGAAACTTATCGCTGCTACCAACTTGGATATAGTCTATAGGGGTTGATTCATCCCTAATCCGAACAATGTTCCACAAAGGCTTGAGCAGCTGCAACAAAGTGGCAGTCTGAAACTCAAAGTTTCCACGAATAATCAAGTCCAAGAACTTAGACAACATACGTTCTGCATAATCTTCTCCTAATTGCATCATATGCGGCTGTTTTTCCCATAAGGGTTCTCTGCCCAAATTATCACATGGTTGTCCTCCATGGGTTTGCAACTCATCCATGAACTGCAAGACCATAATTGTTCCATCACCCCACCTCAACTTTGTAAGCTGGGACACATACTTCTCATGAGCATAATGGGATGACCCCAACACCGTAATAGAAGAACCTGCAGCAAGCCCACAAGGAAGATACGTCAACTTATCTCTTATTGCCAATACTTCCCCACTCATTGATAACCATGAGGGACATGACTCTGGGTTTCCCTCAATTATAAAACTCTTTCAAATCTCCTTCAACTTAGCCACATCTTTATCATCTTTATAGCTTGACATTGGCAAGATTTCTTTCCACGAACCCAGTATGAATGTCAAGACCTCGGTAAACCCATTCCTTGCAATCCCTAATCTGATGAGTTTAGTGTATTCATAAGCAATTGCAACATCCTCCACAATATCCCAAGCATCCAGGTTGCTACTCAAAGACATATTATCTGTATTCAGTCTCTTAGACATGTCCTCAAACAGTTCCAGTATAGCATGCAATTACACCAAATAAAAGCAATACCTCAGATCCAGTTTTTGTGGTATCGGGGAACGAGTGCTTAAGGATTGGCCACGGAGCAATGGTCATCGTAGAAGCATGAATCACTGTCTTCGATGCCGGAAGAGAAAATGTGGTTGCAACAGAATCGTTCGACTGTGGCTTGACGGTCGAAGTTGCCAGTGCTCGTAACAACGGTGAAGATGAGAGCAGCGGTGGAGCTTGGATTGCTGCCGGAATAAGTTGCGATTGGACTCCTCCAACACAAATTGGGCTCCGAGGTAGCTGGATAGGCTCAATCGCAGGAGAAACATAATGATCGGTGGCAAGAGGGGCAGAGATGCCTTCCCCAACGCTTCGAGAATGCAGCTCGTTACCAAATTTGTCGAAATAGGCAGGAAGCTTGGTTGCAAAGGCCTTTTCGATAGCAGCGTCAATGAGAGAAGGTAACGAGGCCATCGTAGCCTCCAAGGAAGCAACACGATCTTCCAGGGAAGAGAAACGAGGGGCAGCGGATCCAAGAATCGATATGGGTGATAACATTGTTAAAACCCAAATCTCAACCCTAGCTCAACCTTAACTATTGCACATAGAAGAAAGGGAAGGAGGAAGATAGAAGGAGCAGAGCTCCAATACATGAAGTGTGACTACTGCCGGCTGGCATTTCTAACAAATCCCCCTAATAACAAGTAAAACACTCAATTACACTCTTAATTAGAGCATAAACCTCAATTACAAATTGGGTACATAACAGAAGACAAAACTTAAAAATTTTGAATTTCATGAAAATTTTGATAAGTAAAGAGATTGAAACTAAAATGAGAAAAAAAAAATATTAAAATTGAACAAAACCAATTTAAGGCCCTTTTCGAAATCCCTCGTACCTTAAAATTTAAATTTCAAAACTGAAAGAGGAAGGCAAGTTATGGGTATATTCAAGATTTCTTGGCAAATAAGCAGGAATTAAACAACCAATTTCAAATTGAGGACAAAAATCTTACCAGGCAAAGGAGCTATCTAGCTCGTTGATGTCGGAGTTGTAGAAGACGCACCAGAGGCAGTCGCGGGAACCGTGTTCGCCCAGAAGTGGTTGCGGGAATCGGGAACGGTCTAATATACATCGGATTAGAATAGAAGCAGAAATGTATGCAATCATTAGAGAAAATTTACAGAGTCTTCTTCCAGTACGTTTACTAACTTATACTGTGTACAAAAACTAATCACATAAGATATGACTTGAAAATATAATAATATTCAGATTTACGTTATAGAATTGAAAGAGTAACAGTTAAACTCTCCTTTTACGAAACAAACAATCCTTCTCTCTTTGTAAACCAATCCAACCAAACCTTTCTTATTTATCTTAAACATATAAAACCAACACATTGTGTGATAGTAAAGATAAAAATGCTTTTTTTTTTTGTCTTTTATTTTTTTTATTTTTTATGAAATGATATGGGTTTGTCAATTCAAATTATATATAAGACTTTGTTGTCGGACTATATTATAGGTGAATGATAATTTATCAAAGTTAATTGGTGTGGGTACTAAACACGGCGAAAGAACGGGAATTTTTTTTTAAAAATGAAGGTACAAAGTGTTCTTGGTGCTTGAAGATGATACGAGTGAAATCAATGCGCTAATCATTGGCAAATCAGGTGAAAAGGTTTTTGGCATGGCCTGTAAAGATTTGGTCTTCAATCAATCAGCAGATCAAAAACAGTTGCCAAGTGAGTTTCTCAGACTAAGAGGCCAGAGAAAAAATTTTCACCTCCAGTTTGGAAGCAAGAGAAATTTATTGAACTCAAACGATTTCCTCATCTGCAACATTTTTGAAGACCTTAGCATCCAGCCAACAACTCCACAGTCCATTAGCAGAGAAATTGCAATATCTTCTATAACAGTTTCATCTTCCACTGCACCTATTGAGACAACTGGGGAATCACATAAAAGAAAAAGAGAACCAATTAGAAGAACGCTTTTTACAGATTCTGAAAAACGGTTATACTCTGTATAACATTATTTTTAGGGAGTTTTAACGAAAAGTCAGCAATACTGTTCACTTTAACGAAAAACCACATTTTAACACTAAAAAGTCAATCCTGGCACTATTTACTTTACTCTTGATTTTGTCCTTATCAATAAAACTCAAAGTTTTCAAACATTTTTCATTAGGTTTCCTTTATTTTTAACTACATCTCAAATTAATCTCAATCTAATCCAAATTTAATTTTCTGATTTTTTTGATATCTTAACACAGTGAAACAGAAGAGATCTCTGAACCAAATGTGCAAGATTTCGATCAAGTTCCGATTAAACTGTTGAAAAAAAAATCCTCCCCAACTAGCTCAAAACAGACGTTGCTGCACAGAAAAAAAAAAAAAATTAGGTGACTTTGTTTTCTTACTGCTTCTTTCATACTATAAATCTATTCATGTACAAACCGTATTCCATGTGTATTAACATTTGATTTTCTTTTTGTATTTTTTTCCAATTATCCAAATTTTTTATCTGCAGTGACTGCTCCAAGGAAAAAAAAAACTTTTGCTGCTCTACAGAGGATATTATCATCTGTTGTCCAAAATAGAACAGTGTTGACTAATATTTTTTGTCTGTAAATAGTCCTTTGCTAACATGAATTCCCCATTTTTTGGTGTATAGAAACAATCTGCCGTTTTGAAACATTTTATCTTCCAATGGTGATACACCAATCAGCATCTAGGGTAGTTATCAAAGGGGAATAACAGGATAACTACTTTTGTATGTGGATGACAGAATAGTTGATAATGCCTTCTATGTATGTTGTATAAATTTAGACAACTATGTACAAATATTTGCTATATTTTCTATCCAATGTTTATTTCAATCTCTACATATTTATATGTTAATGACATAATCTATAGCTATATTTTCGCTTCCGCAACAACATGCGGGTAAAATTTAATAGTTATTTTCTGTACTAAAACCTGGTGGAAAAGTATTGTTCATTAACAATGCCGTTCCGGTTTCGTCCCTCATTTTCTTCTTGGTTTTCCAGCTTTAGTCGGATTGTGCTGTTAAGTGGCGATTTTGCCCTTCTAAATGCGTGTTGTGCGTGCGTGCTACCCGCGTCCTCATCGTGTGCCTTTTCGTTGGATTTTCTTCCTCCTATACTGTTATACACGTGTTGCTCATCGTGGAAGGGAAGAAATGGACCCGGCTTCTCTGCCCTTCCAATTCCCATACACTTTCATCTCCTCCTATTTTGTGCAGTCACGGTTAAGCTACATCAACATTTTGTATTGATTTTTTTTTATAGAGATAATAAGACAAAAAGCAATAGTGATATAAATTGTTGACGTGGCTTAACCGTGACCTCACAGATAAGAGGGGATGAAAGTGCATGGGAACTAGAGGGCAGAGAAGCCAGGTCCCTTACATGGAAAAGCAGGCTCTTCCAGTTGCTTCCACAGATTTGTTGAGCTCTCTCTCAAGCTCTGAATCTCTGGCCTCCGCAAGAAGGTATGTCTCTCCCCCTCTCTCATTTTTTTTTTTTCAATTCGAATTTTCTTTGAATGAATGTTGGATCTGTTGCTGGGAAGAAATTTTAAACCTAGAAAACCTTGATTTTTAGGAAATCGGTAATCCGAAAGCTTAGGTTTCCTGGTGAGTTCTCCGACATATTTGTTTCGAGTTCTCTTTTTTTTGTTGAAATTTTTGTGATTTTAGTTTTAAAATTTGGGTTTTTTTATTTGAACCAGGTACAGCTTCTTTCATTTTCTTTTGTTTCCGGGAAAATTTAGGGCTCCAAAGTGTGTAGAATTGTAGAAGTAAAAGCATGTCTCAATCTTTATGTTGGTCTGTATACAATGAAACTGAATTTTGATTTTGTGTTTTGGCATATCCTTACTGAAATTTTGTGATTTGGGATTTGTAGAAGTTAGTGGCGATTCAAAACCGTTAACTGGGATGATAAATGATAAATGGTGAGGATACTATGATGATAACACAAATTCACTATTTTGCACAGGTGGTGTTCTGGTTTTTCATTTTGATAAATGATGATAAATGTTGACGTGATTTAACCGTGACCACATAAATAGGAGGGGATGGGAAGGGTATGGAATGGGGAAGGCAGACAATCCAGGTCCCTAAATGTACTACTCTGCACTGTATACTGGTTGACAAAAGGTGAGCAACCATTATTTAATGATTTTAATTAATAAACCTTTAGTATTGCCCATTGAAAATTTGTTAATTGTTTTAATGCATATGATATAACGTTTCTGCTTTCCGTAATAAACACTATCTAGGATCTGATTATCATCTTTAGACATTACTTGATTTTATATTGTCAAATGATATATATTTTCATACCCACTGTGTCTATAGTATATGGATTTCTTTTTATAATATTCAAAGCCTTCTATTCTTTGTATTAGATTTTTGTATACGTAAACAATTTTTTTTTAAAGTGTTAATTAAAATGGTTAATTGATAGTTACTATTTACCTATGCATATTCTTTCTTAGTATTTACTATCCACATGCATATTCATGTTATACTAAATCTAAATGTAATGTTCACTGTCATTCAGTTATTCACCGAATATTTAACAATATTTTTTTCCTTGCATTTTTTCTCACGCTTAATTGTCAAGCAACAAGCAATATAAACTTATACAAATTTTGTTTTTTCATTGTTAATCTACTGATGCTAGGGATAATTTGAGTTGAGCTTTTACATTCTTTTGAACATTTTTCATATTTAACTTGCAAGGTCAGTGTCATTGTACAACTTTCCACAATTGTTTGTTCTGTCCTTCTCCCTTTTGTGTAATTTTAGTTAATTGAACTACTCTTTTTAGCTTAAGATTGAACTGAAGTGCTAAGAACTTAGTTAAATAAAAATTTAATTTGGCTTGATGACATTTTGGTGTTTGGTGTTGAATGCATGATTATTAGTTCCACAATCATTGAATACATGATCTTTCATATGTTTTTACGATAATATATCATAGTCCTGCAGCAACGCATGGATCACATTTTCTATTTACAACTATACGATCGCAGGGACAAAATTTGGAATAGCAATGGACCACAAGTACTAATCAATTCCAGTCTAGCTGGCTTAGTGAGTAAAATAATACAAGGGTAATTTTGTACACAAGTCATATTCAAGTCCCATTCAGTCCAGCACTACACAAGTCATATTCTTGCCAGTCTATGGCCCACCAAACGTACCCCTCTCTCTTCTCTCTCTTGCGCAATGCCCCGCCTTCATTGCACACCACCTTCTTGGTCCTTAGTTAATATTGTTCAATAATTAAGATCTCATTAATTTTTAGATTTTAATCGTAGCTTTTGATATTAATGTATTAATAAATTTACATGTTTTTGGTTGGAGCAGAAACAATTTGCTTAGCTTTACACCTGTCCCAAGTATTGTTTCTGATACATTTTGCTTTCCGTACAAATTTCTCCAGCAAAAAATAATTTTGCTACGTGTATGGGGTCTGATCATGGTTGTCAATAATTTGCGAGCTCCCCACAAGCTTTGAACAGTTAGAAATTTAGCAGCAATCCATGCAAATATACGCGAATCACCTTAGAGTCTGTTTGTAATTGCTTTTTTAAACTGATGTGAGCATGGGATGTTTATAAAAAAAAAAATTTTGGAAGGGTTAGAGCATCTCCAACAGGGCCTAAGTAAATGAAGTTCTTTGCTATTTTAACAAAAAAAAATGCAGAAAAAATTTCTATTAAGCTACCTAATTGACTAGCTAAATGTATTTAGAAAATTTCATTTTAATCTTTAAAAATTGTGAGTTTTAAAATATCTTATATATAAAGCCGGAGCCTCAATTTAGGGTCACAGCCTCGACAAAAATGATTAGGATCGGAATGCCCCTCAGCCAAAAAAAAAAATCAAAAGCAACAAAGAAGAATGCATAAAATAATACAAGGGTAATTTTATAAATTTACTTTTTAATAATTTTGTCATAGGACAAGTGGGTAGGCAATCTGACAGAGGTAGGAGCAATTAAGTGTGATCAATTGTTTAGTAAATATTTTTTTGAGTAAAGTACAAAAAACTATCTCAATTATTGATGTCCCGACACTTTTATACCTCATCTTTTAAAATTAACAATGTCATACCTCATCTTACGAATTTGTGTCAATGTTATACCTTTCGTTAGTTTGGAGTAAATTTCTCAGTCAAATGCGGACGTGGCATGATTTATGACCCACTTTTTATTAAAAAAATTAATAAAATACTATTAAAAACTAAAAAAAAATCATTTAATATTTTTTTAAATATTAAAATAATAAAAAAAAAGTTAAAAAATAAAAAAAACCAAACAACTCTTTCCCTCCCTCCATCCCTCCCCCTGTGAGCCTCCAACCCAGAAAACAAATTAAGAAAAAAAAAAAAAAAAAAACCTTCATCCCTTCCCACCCTCCTCCCCCGGGATCCTTCTTTCTTCTCCCTCATCCCCCCCCCCACCCCCTGCTGCAAACCTGCAACCCAGAAAACAAAAGAAGAAGAAAAAAAAAAAAAAAAAAATCTTTATCCCTTCCCACCCTTCCCCCCCCCCCCCAAAAAAAACGTCGTTCTTTCTTCTCCCCCATCCCCCTTGCCGCAAGCCTGCAACCTAGAAAACAAAAGAAGAAAAAAAAAAAAAAAAAAAAAAAACTTTATCCCTTCCCACCCTCCCCCCCCCCCCGGTCCTTCTCTTCTTCTTCTTCTTCTTCCTCCTCCTTCTTCCCCCCCCCCCCCCACGGTCCTTCTCTTCTTCTTCTTCTTCTTCTTCTTCCTCCTCCTTCTTTTGCTTTCTGGTTTGGCAGGGGGTTGGATTTGTTTTTTTTGGGGGGGAGGGAGACGAACTGGGTTTGTTTTTTTTGGGGAGAGGGACGAACTGGGTTGGGTTTTTTTTTTTTTTCTTCTTCTTCTTCTCCTCCTTCCTTCCTTCCTTCCTTCTTCTTCTTCTTCTTCTTCTCCTCCCTTTTCTTCTTCTTCTTCTCCTCCTTCCTTCCTTCCTTCTTCCTCTTTTTCTTCTTCTTCGGGGGGTTGGGGCAAATTTTTATTTTTTTTTGGTTGAATCACGCAGGGAAGAATATGGGGAGAGAGAGAAAGGGGGAGGGGGGGTGGATGGGAAGGTTTTGATTTTTTTGATTTTTTTTTTTGTTTCAACTTTTTTTTATTATTTTAATATTTAAAAATATTAAATGATTTTTTTTAAATTTTTTAATAGAAAGTGGGAGTCTAGATCAAGTCACGTCAGCATTTAACTGACAAATTAACGACAGGCTAACGGAAGGTATAACATTGACACGAATTCGTAAGATGAGGTATGACATTGTCAATTTTAAAAAATGAGGTATGAAAATGTCATGACATCAATAGTTGAGGTAGTTTTTTGTACTTTACTCTATTTTTTTTTATTCTTAATGTAAATTTTATAAAGATTGATTTTATTATGTGAATTCAATTGCTTTAATTGATTTATGAAAGATTTTTTCTAGCATAATATAAGATTATTCATTTATCGTGAATGATTGCTTTCTTCTTCGGGCTTTGGCTAACACGTGGCTAAAACAGTGGGCCTAGATTCAAGCTCTCAACTCTCAATCATTAACTGCAACTTCAATGACTCACATGTATGCAGTGCAAGTTCTCAGAGTGATTACATTGGAAGTTTGGTGTGAATTTGTTGCCGGAGGTTCCCGCTCACTGTGCCTTTGTGTTAGTCCACACAAATCCAACATGATTTTTTTTCGGATTCTTTTGGTGAGGATTCTAAAAATTCGTAAATCGTATTCGCTTATTAGTTTTTGTTAAATTTTAAATAAAAAATTTAAATCGTATTCTATTTGTGTTTAATTTTAAATTAAAATATTTAAAATATTTTTTAATTGTACAATGTACGATGAACGAACATGGTTTATAAATCTTTGAATCCTCACAAAAAGAATCCGTTGAGGATCCGGATTCCACACAAATAGTCATGATACATAATTAAGATTTTCTCTACCTTCTGAAAAAAAAAAAAAAAAAAAAATGCCGAGCCCTGTTGCCGTGTAGCACTTGCAATAGGAAAGTCTGCTGAGAAAGTCAGTCATTGTCTTCATCAAATTGAGGTCGAAGAATTAAGGTTTTAGATCTGCGAACATCCTAACTTAATCAGAGTCTCCGAAATTAATCAGAGAAATGGAAGCTCAAGCAAAAGAAGGAGACTCTCTAGAGAAGCGGCCCGGCATCTTCTTCCTTGGATCCCCCGGCGTCGGCAAACGCTCTCTTATTTCTCGCAATTAATAAAGCTAATGGAAATGATTGAGGCAATAACAATAATTAGACATGTAATTAATTTTTCCTATATTTTCTATGGTATGTCTTAGCTGTATATGCTCATGATTAATTTGTTCGAGGAAAAAACAAATCTCATATTTAATTTGTGTAGTATGATTGTGGTGGGTACGTTAGTACTATAAAATATGATATTTGTCAAAACGGTCTTTTGTCTTTTTCGTCTTCCTAATAATTATTGAAAGCGTTGTTAAAAAAAATATTTTTGAAGTTTTAAAAGTATTTAAAGTATTTTCTATGAGAAGTTAATATGTTTTTTTCAAAAAGTATTTTAAGTGTTTTTTTTTAGAATTTACTTGTATTTTTATCAAAAAGCTTTCAGCAATTTTAGAAATACTTCTAAACGATCTCCTCTATTAAGATTCGTATTTTTTATCTTGAGTCTTGATATATATAAATATATATATATATATATATATTTTATAAATATATATAAAGAAGATGTGTTGTGATCCAAGAAGGTAAGAAATTCTAAGAGAAGATGCAAGTCCTATATACGTTCAAATCACCCCAAAGGAGGATGGAAACTTTTGCACTTCGTATTTGGATAAAATATATAATGCATATCTTTTGATACGCTTACCAGTTCGGGGTGCTAGTGTAACTTTATGCTCCTGATACATTTAATCATCTCATTGATTAATTGTATTTTAATGTTTTATTTCTCTTTTTCTTCCTATTTTTATTGTATTAATTACATTTAAATTTTCATTTTCATTTTATTCATCATAATATATTTTGATTACATTTAGGTAAACTAATTTTTTTAATATAATATATTCCCATGCAATTTGTATGTTCTTCATTCAAGTACATTAATTCATTTGATGGGGTAACATTGGGGAGACTAAATTTATGGATAATGCTTGGGAAACCAAATTTTTTAAACCAAATTTTTTAAACTAAATTTATAGACTCTGTGTCACCTCATATTTTGGCGCAATATTTTATAATGTTAGCACAAAAATCGATATTAAATTGTGAGATAATAGAGAGTCCATGCGTTTCACTTTTGAGAGACCCCCGAGTGTTTCTCAACTATAAATTTGCATGGTTTGGTGACTCCAATTGCTACCTGTTGTCTGCGTTTGTTTTGGCATTTAATTTCTTCTAAGTAAAGCAAAGTTCAGAGAGAGAGAGAGAGAGAGAGAGAGAATAATGGAGATCAGACCGCACGATGAAGATGAAGTGTACAAGGCATCACGGACCGGGAGTGTAGAATCCTTAAACAGGTTGATCAAAAATGACCCAGACATTCTATGGAGAATATCCCTGCAGACCGGCAAAACCGGAACCCCCTTACATGTGTCGGCTTTGCACGGCCACACTGAGTTTACCGAAGCCCTTTGCACTAAAAATCCCAAACTTGCAGAGCGGGTGGACGCCGATGGACGCACGCCCCTGCACTTGGCTTCTGCTGACGGCCACAAGGAGACTGTCGAAGCTTTGTTATCTGTGTATGCTGATGCGTGCTTGCGTTGCGATGAAAAGGGAAGAATCCCTCTTCACTATGCAGCCATGAATGGAGAAGTTGAGGTGCTGCAGAAGTTGATTGATAAAAATCCTGAGTCCATGTATGTCAAAGTTGAAAACAGATCGAAGGAAACAGTTTTGCACTTGTGTATTGTACACAACCAGTTAGAGTGCTTGAAACTGTTGGTTGAAAGAGACGACAGCAATGGCGAGTTCCTCAACTCAAGAGCTGGCTGCTGTGATGGTAGTGTGACCATCCTGCACTTAGCTTTGATGCTAAGGCAAATTAAGGTACGTATATATAGGTTTCTATACTGGATATTCTTAGTTTTTTACTATATTAATTAAATATGTTCATGTATAAATTTTCTTTTGTTTGTTCCCCTTTATATATAGTTTATGGCATTAATCTCAGTTATTATTATGAAGTTTTTGGTTTTTTAATTTTCAACATTTAATGCATTAAGCTTTTTTAGTCCCAATTTAATACTTAAGTCATCATTAATTCTGAGATATTTTTATACATTCTTTAAATTTTTATTTGTTAGAATTTACGTTGATGCATCTGCAGACAATAATTAGACGCCGGCAGGGCCCACCCACGTGAATATTAAAAAAATAAAATATTAAAAAATTAAAAACAGAGTTTTCTGGAATCGCATATGAGGAGGTATTGCAGAGCTCTATCTCCCTCCCTTCGACTGCACATGGGCGGCGGTGGAATAAATCCACTCCCTTTTTGTGTTGCATATGGGTTTCCCTTCCCCAGATCTGCAACCCACTCCCTTCCCTTACCTCCCGTTCAACTGGAATAAAAGAAAGAATCCCGTCCATCTGCATCTCAAGAAGTTGTAGAAGTATTAGCAGCAGCACCGCTGCCGGTCATCGGTTCGGCATCTTCCGCCGTCACCAACTCCGAATCCGAAGACAACCCATTGTCGCTGCGGCCTAATCCGGATACTCCAGTTGGCTGGCCAGCCTACGGAAACTTCAGTCTCGAATGGCTTAGGAACCTCGTGTTTGTTTTTTTATTGCATCTAGAAATCTGGACCCGACCCAAGTGCCCGTGTTTCCCGTAGTGGTTGTCGATAGCTTGGTCGTCTGCCCATCCAAAATCCTCCCCAAAGATGCCAAACGTTGATCAGTTAGGCCTGGAATCTACCGTGGTGGTCGTCGCAGACCTTCGTGGACCTCCTTTTTCTTTTAAATGATCTTCACCCTTTTAGGTTTTTAGTATTTTAGTTTTTAAAATTTTTAATTTTTTTAGTTTTTAAAAATTTTTATTTTAATTTCTTAAAACTGTAGACATCGAAATTTCGGTGAAACAAATGTTCACCAATGCATTAAAGTTTTGACGTGTCAAGGCATACATGGCATACGCCACGTGTTGTACAAATTGTACACATGACGTGTGACTCAACAAAATAGGAAGAAATACCCTTGAAGGATTAAACAAGTTTTTCTTCTCATTTTTGGGCAATGACAAGGCAAGCACATTTCAATCCATTGAGGATCAAAACAAGTTTTTTTTCTCATGTTGGGCAATGACAAGGCAAGCACACTTCAATCCATTGAGGATCAAAACAAGTTTTTTTTCTCATGTTGGGCAATGACAAGGCAAGCACATTTCAATCCATTGAGGATCAAAACAAGTTTTTTTTCTCATGTTGGGCAATGACAAGGCAAGCACACTTCAATCCATTACGGATCAAAGCAAGTTTTTCTCATTTGGGCAATGACAAAGCATACACATTTCAAGTTTAAAATGGTATTAAGTGGGAAAATTAGGCAATGGTGCTTGGAAAGGAAAAAAATATTTTTGTGGTGGTGATTCATTCTCAAAGCCTATAAATAGGCTTCTCCATCAAGGTATCAAACATCAACAGACACCAAAACCTTGAAGCCTTAAAGTTCTAAAGCTCTCAAGAAAATCCCGAAGGATCAAGAAAGCACTCTTCGTTCTTCGTCAAATCCTCCTTCAAGATCAAGCCCCAACGGCCCTTGAAGAACTTCCACCATTATTCAAGATCAAGCCCCAACGGCCCTTGAAGAAAGCGTTCATCATTCATCATCCGTTCATCCTAAGATCAAGCCCCAACGGCCATTTGGATCAACGACCTCAACAAACTCATACACCCATTCTTCAAGATCAAGCCCAACGCCCCTTGAAGATCCATTCATCAACTGTTCATCCTTAGATCAAGCCCGACGGCCCCTTGGATCAACAAACAAATCCACACATCTATTCTTCAAGATCAAGCCCAAAAGCCCTTGAAGAAAACCAACTGTTCATTCAAGATCAAGCCTCGACGGCCCTTGAAGAAAACCAATCGTTCTTCAAGATTAAGCCCCAACGGCCCTTGAAGATCCGCTCATCCATCAACCTTCAAGATCAAGCCCAAAAGCCCTTGAAGAAATCCACACAACCATTATTCAAGATCAAGCCCCGACGGCCCTTGAAGAAAGTGTCCATCCGTTCATCCTAAGCATAAGCCCCCAACGGCCCTTTGGATCAACAACCTCAACAAATCCACACATCCAATCGTTCTTCAAGATTAAGCCCAAAAGCCCTTGAAGATCCACTCATCCATCAACCTTCAAGATCAAGCCCAAAAGCCCTTGAAGAAATCCACACAACCATTATTCAAGATCAAGCCCCGACGGCCCTTGAAGAAAGTGTTCATCCGTTCATCAACTGTTCATCCTTAGATCAAGCCCCGACGGCCCTTTGGATCAACAACTCATCCACAAACCTACACCCTACGAAGATAGAATCAGAGGACCAAATTTGAGAGAGATCGTAACCCCAAAATCATTAAACAAAAAATATTATTTTGTACACGTTATTCTTGTTTCTTGTTTCAAGGAACTTTCGTGTTCACAACAACGTTTTAATATCCACGTGCGTCCATTGACACGTGACGTTCATTTATTGTCTATGCAGCTACAATATCATTAGGAGGTTCTGATGAAAAACTTAACGAATGTATAAAAATGTTCCAAAATTAATTATGACTTTTACCAAACTGAGACGTAAAAACTTGATGTATCAAATGTCAAAAACTAAGAATTTTCAAAGTAGGAAAGTGAGATTAATCCTAGTTTATATGTGCTTTCCCTTGTTTGTTCCCCCTAGGAGCATAATTTCCATCATATTAATAAGAAATTTTTTAGTGTGACCGAAACACGCATAGTACATCATGTGTTTTTATATAAGTGATGAGAAATTATATTTTTTAAGTTATTAACTGTTTAACACACTTATTCCACTATTTATATAGTGACACGTGGTGTACCACTTCGTGTTCCAGTCACATTAAAAAATCTCCCCATATTAATGAAGTGTATATATTATTTACAGACTATACGTTACCTGCTTTCCGTTGATACTATAAGAGCAGAAGCAGTTGGTGTGAATGGGATGTCTCTGACCATGTCAGATATCTTAGAGTACAGCAGCGTTGCAAGAGAGGACTTTAGCAGAAGCTTAGAAATTCAACAAATTTTGATGGACGCAGGATTAATCAGAAGAGAAAATAATGAAAATGACAATCCTAACTCAGCTGTTGCCGCTGCCGCTGTTGTTGTATCACCAAATCCAAGAAGGGTAGAGAAGAAAAGGAAGCTTCACAAACGAGTAGCACCATCGGAAAAGGGATCAAAGCCAGCAAGGTGGTTCTTGACAAAATTGATGAAATGGTTGAGATATCCGGATGATTGGGTGAAGGACACACGTGGCTTGCTGATGGTTGTGGCTACGGTGATCTCGACCATGACTTTTCAAGCCGTAGTCAACCCACCTGGTGGTGTATGGGAACATAATGATACAAACACTACCTTTAATAATATAACAGTTTGCAGTGAAGAGATTGTATGTAGAGTTGGAACTGCAGTGTTCGGCTACGGTAATGATCCCAAGGATTACTTCCGCACTTTCATAGCATTCAATACCATCACGTTCCTTGCTTCTTTGAGTGTCACCCTTTTGCTCGTTAGTGGATTTCCTCTCCACAATCGGTTGTGCACGTGGCTCTTATCGATGTCCATGTGCGTCACTCTCGCATTCTTGGCACTCACCTATCTAATTGTGCTGTACGTGATGGTCCCTAATTACCGTTGTTTCGTTTCATCGAGCTTGTACCGGATATTCTTTATTCTTTGGATTACGTTGCTGGTCATAGGCAGCGTACTTCAGACTATCCGGTTTCTTATGTGGGTGATGAAGCGGTTGCGACCCATGTACTTCAGGTCAACATCAGGTCTCAAGAACATGGTCACCACTGGCTCCTTTTCACGTAAAGATCCAACGTGTTTTGAAGAGAATGATGTGCCTACAGTTGTGTGATTACTCTGCCGCGGTGTGTTTGCTTGAAACAATAATTATCTGGGTCATACACCCTTTATGCATGTAGCAATTAGGGTTTAAGGTAATGAACTAGGTCAATGACGCTTTCTGGATCCGGGTTGGTAATTCAAGAGTGTTGCTTAGTTATGATAAGTAATCCATCTGCTATGTAAATTAGAAGTGTTTGTTGTCTTTAATTTGATGCTGGACACTAGCTACTTTTTTATTATTATTCATTTATGTCATTTGTTATCACATTAGCAAACTAACAACTGTTCTCATTCTCTCTGCCAGTAGTTTGTTATTAGTTAATACAGTATAAATGGCTTTCCCCCCCCCCCTCCCCCCCCCCCCCCCCCCAAAAAAAAAACAGCATAAATAGCTAAACATTGTCTCAGGATTTGTTTGTAAGTGAGTGCCTTTAAAATGATTAAAAGTGCTTTTAGAGAAAAAAATTTGAGTTCCAAAAGTAATTGAAGTGCTTCATGTGCTTCTTCCAAAAAGCACTTCATGCGTTTTTCCAAAATTCACTTGCGTTTTTATTAAGAATTAATTTTAAAAACATTTTCATTAAAAACGCCTTCAGTTATTTTAAAAACACTTACCAAACGAACGCTTTCACAAATATTCGCTTTTAAAGGACACTACTCGACTCAACTAACAAGACATTCCTACTCAGGCTGACCTTGAAATATAAACCAGAGAAACTAATTGAAATAATCAAAACCCAAATTCAATTTCAAAGGTATATAAGAGTCATGCAAAGGTGTGGCAGATGACTACAGACCATAGTGAAGCTACTTTTATAGTTATTTACTTCCTTACATGATAATCAAGGTCTAGCTAAGCTTTTATACCTTTTTAGTAGGAATTAACTCTACTTCCAAGGCATCCACCCGACAAATAACAGCATTCGGCAATTCCAAAGGGAGTTCTCCCACAAAATCCTTAAACAACTCAATCAAAATGAACGTAGATTGAAAGTCAAAAGTAAAATCAAAATGAATGTAGAATCAAAATAAAACACTGGATTTAACCTTATAGAGTCTAGAAACTGAAAGGGTTAAAATAGTCCAACTTCGAACTGATTACCTGAGTATAGGTTGAGCAGTGAAATTTGTGAAGTGTAAGATTGTGAATTTAGGACAATAAATTGTATACCAGTATACCACTCAAATAGAAGGAGATCGAAAGTGTTAAAAAAAAAAAAAAAAAAAAAAAAGAAGAAGAAGTCAGTAACAAAAACTGACCCAGCAAAATTGTTAACGTATTAAAAACTAAATATTTCAACAAATTATATACCCTCAGCAAAACCCCAAAATAAGAACACCAGCGCTTGCTGAAAGCAAAAAAAGAACGAAATCAGACAGCCACACACAGCATCCGAGCACATAAACAAAACCCCCAAAATTATAAAAAGAAAATTTAAACACAAAATCCATCTGTAAATCGAAAACAACCAAAAAAAAAAAAATTTTAATCAGACACACTAAGAACGACGAAAAACTCATCAGGCGACTCTAGGTTATGTGGGTAAGAAATGGATTTCGATCAAATTAAGAAAAAAGGCAAAAACTTCTAGGAGCTCAACGATTTCCCAGGAAAAGTAAATTAATTTCTAACAGAAAATAGAAAAAATAAAGTACATGCATAAAATCAAACATATCAACTTCCACACTAATCGAAAGCACAATTAATTGCATGAATATTAAATTAAAAATGCAAATAATGAGATTGAATCTGCGAACCTGAACAAAACAACGAAATTGACGGCGGCGTGAGCATGGCTGAGATGGCTGAGATCACAGGCGGTAATTCCATAGAACTACATGCTGACCTTGCCGGGTTCTATCGGCCTGCCGATCTGGAGAAAGATGGCAACGCTAAACAGCAAGTAAAACGACAATGCGGGAGAGAAAAAAACCTAGGTTCCAAAATACCCAAAAGGTGAGAATGGCGAGAGAAGCGAAATTGGGAAGAAGTCGAACTGAAAGGGCCATCGATGATGGACGCGTGGGCCAGAAGGGAAACGTCGTCCATTCGCTGTGACGGAATCAAACCACACAAACAAAGGATGATCAACGCGGCAATCAGGGGCATAACAGATATTTAAATGTGCCAAGCAGCAACAAAACGGCTAAGCAAACAAAAAAATCAGGGGCATTCCGCTTTTTTACTATTGCTGAACAGTGCCGGAATCCAACTGGGTTTTAGTATATATAATAATAATGTGGTGTAATGGTTAAGTAGAGTTTGGTTATACATGAGGTCCCTTCTTCGAAACTTGCTGACGCTAATGATTTTTCAAACTCCCAATAATAGATGTCCATAGCCAACAACCTTTTATCCTTCTGCTGTTTTTTTAAAACTCCCAATAATATGTTCACAGCCAAAAACCTTCTGTCTTTTTATCAGTTCATATAAAATAAGGTTTATACATTCGAGAGTAAGATCCAGTTATGTTGAAAGAAATATCTTATAATATTTTTAAGCTAGTCATAACCTTAAATTTTCACGTTATGTTGAAAGAAATATCTTACAATATTTTTGAGCTAGTCATAACCTTAATTTTTACTTGAATCTAACATATGAAATCTTTTTTTACCAAAACTTGTAAACATGCTCTATTTTTATAACATAACCATCTCAATACTAAATTTTATCTAAATTTTAAGGCTCTGACTTTAACTAAAAAGCTAGAAAAAGTAACTTTTAATTGTTCTCCAATTAACTATATTACTATATGTTTTTTTTTTTTTTAAATTTCTTTCATTTAGCTTAAAGGCCCCTCCTAACATAGATTTCTAGCTTTGTCATTGTCACAATGATATCTGAAATCATAATTTTATGACACTTTCATACATGTATTAAGGTTAGTGTTAAATCAGCCATTAATTGGTGACATAGCACATACATGGACAATGATTGAGCACTACGTGTCAAAATGGAGCCCCTCCCCTCATGAGAATCATAGCCACACATCCCTTAATCAACAAACCAAACCTCCAATTTCTCTGATACAAAACCTAACCATGCCGCTAATAGAGCTTCGATAAAAGCTCAAACCTTCACACTTTGGTTTTAAGAAGACAAAACCTAGAAACTTCAAAGCCAACCCCAGATTTGCTAAAATCGTCGTTGCTTCGGTGGTTCAAGAACTCGACGTTATCCAACAGCCTAGCAATGACTGCCATGGAAATGCAACGATGTTGTTCTGGGCATCGCACACACTGTCGACCACCGATCTCACTGCGATCCTGTTCATCTTCACTGGTCCAGGAGGGTTATAGATCGTGCAGGTTTTAGAAATGGAGGGTTTGGTGATCGCAGAGGAAAGAATGGAGGGAAGATTGGTTGGGATCGGGGGAGGTAGAAGACGATGGGATTTTTCAAAATTTTCTATTTTTAAAATTTTTAATTGTCACGTGGGCTTCATTGACACGTGGCCCAGTCATTGTCCATATGATATCACGTCACTAGTTAACAATTGATTTAACAGCAACCTTAACGGATTTATGAAAATATTCCTAAATGATAACTTCATGTACCATTTTGAGTTCAATTAATAGGTAATGGTAATTTTATAGATATCTTCATGTGTATATTTTCTTTTGTTTGTTGCTCTTTTTATATACTTTATGAGAATAATCTCAGTTTACTACTCTGAAGTTTTTTTTTTTGTTTTCAACATTTGATACATTAAGTATTTTTCGTCTCAACTTGATACCTAAAATCATAATTCGAGGACACTTTAACATATCCATTAAGTTTTCGTAAGAATCTCCGTTAACTAATGACGCGGCATTCATATGAATAATGACTGAGCGCTACATGCCAATATATTAAATAAATTCAAAAAAAAAAAAAACTAAGTTATCTGATAAACATTGAGGAGGAATCGCAAATGAGCAAATTTGAGTATCTATCTCCCTCCGTTCGACTGCACATGGGGTAACGGTAGAATGAATCCACTCATTTTTGTGCTGCATATGGGTTTCCGTTCCCCAGATCTGCAACCTACTCCCTTCCCTTACCTCCCTTTCAACTGGAATAAAAGAGAATTTCGTCCATCTGCATCTCAAAAAGTTGCAAGACGTATTAGCAGCAGAACTGTTGCCAGTCATCGATTTGGCATCTTCCGCCATCACCAACTTTGAATCCGAAGACAACCCATCGTAGCCAAAGCCTAATCTGAAAACCCCAGTTGGCTGGCCAGCCGACGGGAAGCTTAGTCTCGAATGGGTTAGGAACCTCAGGTTCGTTTTTTATTGGGCATCTAGAAATCTGGACCCGACCCAATTGCCCGACGTGTTTCCCGTAAAGGTTGTCGATAGCGTGGTCCTCTGCACATCCAAGATCCTTCACAAAGAGGCAAACGTCCATCAGCTAGGCCTGGAATCTACCATGGTGGTCGTCGGAGACCTTCATGGTCAGCTGCACGACCTCCTTTTTCTTTTAGATGATCTTCACCCTCTTAGGTTGGATAATTGAAATCAAATTGATGATTGAATGATTAATTAAGTATCGATTAACGTGTTTGTTTCTTATTGATGACATATTATTTGATTTAAAAAAAATTTGTCTTCTTAGCATTATTCTTTTATGTTTGTACGATTTTAATATTAAATTTTTTTTTTAATTTTAATTTTTTTGTTTTTTTTTCCTAATTTTTTAAATATCTATATGGGCCTATATGGACATGTGACATCCAGTCAATTGTCATATAGAGGTCATGTCATCAGTTAACGGAATTTTTGACGAAAAACTTACCGAATTTATGAAAGTGTTCCAGAATTATGACTTTAATTAAGTACCAAATTGAGACGAAAAAATATTACATGCATCAAACATTGAAAATCAAGAAAATTCAAAGTAGTAACTTTCTCTTGTTTGTTTCCCTAGCAGCATAATTTCCACCATATTAATAAAGTGTATATATTATTTACACACTATACGTTACCTGCTTTCCGTTGATGCTATAAGAGCAGAAGCAACTGGTGTACATGGAATGTCTCTGACCATGTTAGATATCTTAGAGTACAGCAGCGTTGCAAGGGAGGACTTTAGCAGAAGCTTAGAATTTCAACAGATTTTGTGTGTCACCCTTTTGCTAGTTAGTGGATTTCCTCTCCACAATCCGTTCTTCACGTGGCTCTTATCGACGTCCATGGGCGTCACTCTCACATTCATGGCATACACCTACCTAAGTGTGCTGCCTTTGATCGTCCCTTGGTACACTAGTTCGGGTTTTTCAACATTTCCTATACGC